TGAGGAATGATATCTGATATTCTATATGAGTGGGTTATTCCACTCACAAAGTTCTGGCAATCAGTCTGCACATCAGGGTGTCACTGGCACAGCACCTGCACAGCTTACAGCTACAGCTTATCACAGCATGTGTAGGTGTGTTAGCTGTGACTCTATGTAAGGTCATGCTCTCTGTAATAAACCAATACAAAACCAATTGTAACTCAGGCAGGTTTTCTCAGGTAGCAGTCAGCATGATGGGATTTAAGATGATACTGTCATGCATTTGTGGTCCACACTGTCGTGGTTCAGTGCCGTTGGGCAGAGAAAGGCCAGAACAAGTCAAATTGATTTAGAAACAAGCAAGATGGCCTGGCACACATCTGGAGAGGGAATATTTGTTCTGTTGCCACAGAGCTGTGAAGGCTGAGCTCTTTCATTCCTCATTGATCCAGCTAACGCTGTACTCTCTGCAAACTGTCAGGGAAACACGGAGAGAGGGCCTAGAAAAAAAGACCAAGAGAAAGAAAGAAAGAGAGTTTAAAAGAAAGAAAGAAAGAAAGAAGGTAAGAAAGAAAGAAACACTGTAGCAGTCGGCCTGGTGACTCATCCCTCACTCATCTCTCCCTTTAGGGACCTAGACATGCCATCACTTTATATAGCCATTTCTCTCTCTCTCTCTCTCTTTCTCTCTCTCTCTCTCTTTCTCTCTCTCTTTCATGGCTCTGATTAAAGAGGATCAGTGGAAAATTTGGAACGTTAAATGTTTCCCATGGTGCCATTTACAGGAAAGAGAGAGAGAGAGAGAGAGAAAGAGAGAAAGAGAGGGAGAGAGAGAGAGAATGTGACTGACTGACAGTCTTTAATTTATGCATGATCCATTTAACATCACATATACAGTAACATAAGTTCCTTTTGTTTATGATTTGCTGATTTTGTATGTCTGGAGTTATGCTTGGTTTGAAACTGAGGTTCTGGACCAAAACCATCCCCTCTGTCCCACTTTATTGTGAATTCACTGGCCTGATTTCAAATAAACCCTGACCTTTATCTGTGGTTGCAGTGTGATGAACTGACTATAGAATCACAGTCAAGCTATAAATTAAACTTTTTGCCTTTAGCATTTGATGTTGACATGATACAGTATTATTAAGTCTCATGTTCTGCTGAAATGCCCTTCAGGACAATGTTTAAGTGAACACAACTCGAGGGCACGCATGAAAAACCAATAGTCTTCAACCTCCTCAAGATGAAATGATTGACCTTTCACCTCCATTTCCTGACCTTTGGATGGTCCAGATAAAAACGACAATGTATTTTCCTGTAATTTGTCTACTTCTGCAAACAGACTTTCAGATTGGAATTGCTCCTCAAGGACCACTGCACTTAATGCACCTCTCAGGTAGCCCTGCTTAGGTTGAATTTAAAGTTATATGTATGGTTTTCCTCCAGGCAGACATCAATGCAAAGTTTTTAAAGTTCATGACCAAACAGTAGGTTTTTATTATTTTTAAAGAAGACAGATATTAACAGAGAATATAGTTTTCTCTACAATTAATGGGAATCCTTTGTTGTTTCAGCACAGAGGAAAAGGGGGAAAGGTGTCCTCAGTTGACTCCCTGTGCATTTATAAAACCACAGTTGTATCATTAGTGTATTCACCCATTAGATGGAAACATCCACTCATTGCCTGTTTGTGTGTGTAGTGAAATACACACATCTAAGGTCACACAGTACAGCGTGTGCACGTACACACACACACATTTTCCAGTAGGGGAGTTCTTAGTGGTTGGAGTTTAAACAGGAAAAGAGAAACAGAGAGGGGTGTGTTGCAGCGGGATTCCTCTCCCTCTCTCTACTTTGGGCTGATGAGTGGTTTCAGTGTGGGCTCAGAGTGGAAAGCTACATACACACATGCACACACAAACACACACCAGCAGCAACAGCAGCAGCAGCAGTGGCGACAGCAATAGCAGCAGCAGTAGGTCTACCACATGATTTAAACACTTTCTTGTGGAAAGTATGTTTCACTTCATCTGGAATCATTACAGCTCACGGCTGTTGCCAAGGAAACACGGAAACAACTGAAGAAATCATGGCCATAGAATTGTAAAACGTATTTTATTTGTACAGAGATACAGTCATCACAGAGGGAGACCAGTGGCATTCCACCATGCCGAGTCATCCACTCGTCCTCTACTGTAACGGCAGCTGCAGACGACTGGCCTCATCACCAGGAGATGCTTCCCATCGTTTTTCACTTTCGTGGCTGCGACCGTGTCATTTATAATGACCGGTGTTTGTCACATGAAGACGAGAGCTGCATTTTTAGATCCTTGTGAATTACAGATGGTGATGGTGATGGTCAACAGGCTCTTCACAAGCAGAACAGCTACCAGCTGATCTCAGCAGGAGGCACACAATCACAGTCATTTGGGCAAAGATTTAGAAATGTTTTTTAAAAACTCTGTTTTAAAGCTGTTACGTCCCGATATCAGCTTTATTATAAATAATTAAACCCAAGGTAAGTTGTCTTTGCCCCAATCTGCCCTAGTCGTTAGTGAGGTAAATTCAGTTGGTGGAAACATAAATTGTTTATGAAATCCTGCTCGGAAATCCAGCTCCTTATCTAGCTCTGCGGTACAGCACTAAGACTGTGAGCTCTGAGGTCTCAAATGACTCTGGAAAAGAGTCATCTTTTCCTTTAAACAAGGCCGTCAGGTAAGGACAAGTCCTGGAGGATTACGTCAGCACTGTTACAGTAACGGAGGCAAAACATGGCCAGGGAGGTAAAAAGTAGAGAGGGGTAGTGTTCACACACACACACACACACACACACACACATGCAGCCAAAGTTACTGCACTGTGAAAGCCACTGGGATGATCACCAGTTTTCCACCAGCTATGAGTCACTGCAGCAAAGTACCCACAACTGGGACCTGGAAAAATAAGAAAAAAAGATAGACAAAAAAAAAAGAGAAAATGTAGAAAGAATGAAAAGAAGAAAGAAGGATAGATAGAAAGATGAAAATATAGAAATAACCTTTAACAATGAGGTACGAATCTGTGTTTGTGTGTAAGTAGTGGTGTGGAATGCACGCAAACATGAACGCACAAGTACAGTAACACACAAAGACACATGCACACACACGTACACCCGTTGAAGGCAAAAAAAAATCATAAGGAGCAAATTATGATGCACCACGCTGTGAGGAAATAAATTATGACAAAAACACTTCCATTCCTTCAGGACACAGATACTTCTCTCTCTCTCTCTCTCTCTCTCTCTCTCTCTCTCTCTCTTACACACACATACACACACATTGTGGTTTATTGTGTTTTGCAACTAATTTCCCTTTTGACAGTAATTGTGTTATTTATTAAGTGAAACCCGGAGATACAAACAATCAGCTTGTGCATGTTTTGCAAGAGCTCAGTGCAAAACCGGTTCTCAATGGGTACCTTACAAAATCAAACACACACACTTGCTCACCGAACCATTACATACCTCCTTCATCTATTTTCCAAGGCTGTGACCGTACCTTCCTGTCTTTGGTGCAGCAGCCTCTTGGAGAACAATGACCTATTAAATTAGGAGGGTCAGGAAGTCACAGCACACCGAGGTGATTGCTTGAACTTCCCCATACACTTTTTCCATGTACTTTACACACACTTGCACGCAGCAGAGAATTCCCTTCTACATCTGTGCCTCTGTTGGATCTATCATGTGCAAACATCAACATGTGACCTCCTGCACCAGCAGCTGACAGGTTGGGGTTTCCCAGGCACACAGTTCTTTTAGCTACCTGAGGTGAAGAGCCCAACATTCTTGTAAAAGCACTTTCTTGACTGCATGACTGTGTTGTAAATTTGGTCCTGAACCAGCCTTTCAAGTCAAAGCACATATGAGGTGAAGAACAGAGAGGAGATGAGTGTCGGGTATGATGTGTGATCTGCTAGGATAATTTGTTTCTCAAATTAATTCAGACTCCAGGTGGAAGTATTGAAACTGTTCTCTAAAATATTCATCATAATAAAACATGAAGTGAAATTTCCACCCCATTGACCCCCAACATCCATGGAATACATTTTCACCAGTCTTGTGTTTTCCATCGCCTGTGCCTGTTCCATGCAGCTGCTCAGGCCCATATCCATCCGCCAAGGTCAGGTTTACCCAAGATAGTGCTGCACAATACATTCATAAAACTGCCATCACACAGAGCAGCAGCAGCAGAACACAATAGACACACGGCGCACCCTCTCTCCACTCTCATACCTCCACCTCCCAGCCAGAACTTTGATGCTATCATCTTCCTGCTAAGCAGATGGTTTTCCAAGACTTCAGCAGCAGCATCCCCACTTGTGCTGTTACTAAGTTCGTACGACAGCAGAAAAGCTTCTCCTCTTTTCCACCACAAGGTCCTTTGTTCTGGCTCTGCTGTGTTCCTGTTTTGACCATGAAGGCATGTAGAGGAGAGGAAAGGACAATACGCACAAGTATTGGCCCTCAAGCAGACACTCTGGAGCCCCATTGGAGGAGAACTTGACATGATGGAAAGAGGAAGCCCCCCCCCCAGCAATTTTCCATCCCTTCATTAACAAGTCAGAGTATTGTATGTACGAGGTGAAGGAGACACAAGGGAGAAAGACTTATTAGGAAAGTAAACGGCGAGACAAATGTGGGTGGGAGGAAAAAAATGCCATGGGAATGAAAGAATACTGTAGATGCTGGGGTGGGGGTGGGAGGGGTGTTGTTCAGGAACGCTTTAAAAGGGTTGGACGGGTTCAGATTGAGTTTGTGGGGCACTGACGCACAGGAGTCCTGATCACAACTTTTTTCACAATTTTTTTTATTTGGAACTTGTCATAAGACTTGCAGTACCGAAATCTAAAGATGATTTTGATGAGTTTTGATGAAGACACCAAAGTGAACCTATCAGGGTACTGTCGTACTGTTGTGAGTGGTGTCAATTTCATAATGGAAGTAAATAAGCATCTCCTGTTCTTCTTGTTGTCTACAGGATGACGTGAAGGTTCCTTCCAGGCTCAACATCTCCAAATCTATGAAGGTTTCAGAATCTGTGTCAGGAAGTAGAAAAGGCAGCATGCTGGAGCTGAAAGAAGATGGAGAGGAACATGCACTGGAGGAAGGAGGAGAAGGTGAGAAGGCAGATAAACCTCACGTGGACCTCTCTTCAGATGAGGAAGGAGTAGATATTGAGGATGTCATTGAGGAGTCACGGGCTGAACGCATCAAGCGAAGCAGCCTACAGCGTGTCCAAACCCTGAAGACGGTTTTCTCAAAGGAGAAGATGGACAAGACCAAGGCAAAGACAAAAGAGAACCTGGAAAGGACCAAGCAGAAAACTAAAGATAATATAGAGAAAACCAAGCAGAAGACCAAGGAGAACCTGGAGAGGACCAAGCAGAAAACTAAAGATAATATAGAGAAGACCAAACAGAAGACCAGGGAGAACCTGGAGAAGACACGCCACAACATTGAGAAGAAGATGTCAAAGCTGGGAACACGCATGGCTGTCAACCCGGAGCAGAAGCAGAAGATCCAGACATCCCGTGAAAAGGTGAAGAAGGCCTTCACTCCAGACCATGTTGTTTATGCCCGTTCCAAAACTGCCGTGTACAAGGTGCCACCTTTCACCTTCCATGTCAAGAAAATCCGTGAGGGCGCCGTGGAGGTGGTGCAAGGCACCGAGATGGTGGAAGTGTCTCAAGATCCCGATCCCTTCAGTGGGGTGGACGAGGCTGTGGAGGAGGCAGCTGAGGAGGTGGAGATGGAGATGATGAATGGAGGAGGAGAAGATGACGAGGCTGATGAGGATGAAGAAGAGGACAGCCACAATGTCCATCAGGAGAATGAAGACAGAGATAGAGACAGTGATTAGATTAAGAAGATCTTCCTTGACCACCCCACGAGTGTATAAAACTGATACATGACTTCTGAGAATCAAGATTATTATTATAAAATAAATATATTTGATTACAATTAGGATCTTCTTTTTCTGGCGATCAACCATATAATTGAATACTGTTTAATACACAAATAAATGCTGAGTTTTAAACGCATTGCATTAGATTTAGGAGGACCATAACTAGGCAAATTTTCTTAGCTACAAACAGAAAAACACAAATAACTCTGTCACAAATGTCACAGTGAAAGTTCTCTTAAATAAGCTTGTGTTTAAACATGATATGAAAGTCAAAAATGCAAAATAAAAAAGATATTTACATTGGAAAATAATAGGATGTAGTCTTGTAAACTACACTTGAAGAGTTTAAGGAACTTCAATGTTTGGAAGAACATGGTAGCGCTCTTCAGAGTACATTTGTGTTCATGTGGTAAAAATTATAGCGAAAAAGAATAGTTAAAACGATAAAGATAATAGAATAAGACACATGTCAAAGATAAAGTCTTTTTCAAGGATGTGAATTCAGAGAGAATTCCATTTTTTGTTGACATCAAGACATGGATCATGGATCACAGCCAGTGAAAAAGCAATATGTGAGTAAGTATACAGTAATCATATCTCTTAGACTATTCAAATACAGGTCCCAAAGACCATAGAATATTCAATATAAATGCTAAAGACCATACAGACGTTCTTGTGCTTTGAAATCTTGAAATATTATATATATACCACACATGCAAGTACATATTTTTCCACCTCCTTGTTGCTTATTTGTTTTTGTTAATCTGTTCCATCTGTTACCAATTTTTAGCTGCACATTTTTTTCTGTCATTGCATAGGTTTTATTGAGCTCACACTTTATGTATGTGTGTGTATAAATCTGTAGGTAATCACACTTTACACTATGCTGATGCTGCTGTCTCACTTTTTTATAGCTTGCAGGAGGCAATGTAATCATATAATCACCTGTCTTTCATTGCAATTTACTTCCAGTGTTTCCAAACAAAAACTTGCAGCAGAATGAAGGTTTAATATGTCGAAAACACAACAAAAATGTGACTCACACCCACACGTCCGTTATATACAGCTATTAATGGATATCAATGGAATTTTCCTGAACTAAAACAGGGACCAACTGTTCAAACGAGTTTGCCAAACAAGTGTGTAATTTAGGGACCTGTCTAGTCATGGCACAATGGAGTTATATTACTGTGATCTGACACTGACCCCTAGTGTTCAGTTAATAATATCCTTTGCTCCACCGTAACAAACAGTAACATTCTCTTTAACGTCACTCTGTAATTTAAGTATTTCCACGCCCTCTTCTACGCATGTTTTTCTTTGTGGCAACCTGTAAAATGTGTTTTGTTTTCGTTTTTCACCACAACTGGTGGCATTTTATGAATGCTTTGCAACAATGTGTTGGAGATTTGATCTGCTCTGACTGCATTTTTTTCCAGCACATTTGAGATAAGGACAACAACTCTTCACAGAATCAGCAGAGCAGTCTAGGAAAGAGGTGAAACTAAAGTAAAAGAGAATATAATAACTCATGGGAGAGAGGAATAGAATGTGATATAAATAAACCACGTCACTATATTTGCAATATTTGTACTGTCAAAGTATTTTTTCCATTTCAGATCAAAAGTCAGTGCTCTGCTTGTATTACTTTTTGTATATAATGTGAATCACTGCCGATGCTGATCCCAGTGCATACTGATTTTAGTAACCAAAATATTCTTCCGCTCTCTGTTGCCTGAACTTTTTCAGCATAGAGAACAACTTTTGGGCCAAATCATTTTGACATTTTCCACTGTTGCCAAATTAACATGTGAAGCAAGGGTAAAATGTTCTAGTTTTGTTTTACTGTTAACATTTGTGAAGCAGATGTTGCATAAAGACTCCATTCAACCAAATGAATTAACACTTGCAGTGTCGGTAAAGTCACAAAGAACATGCAACTGCCCAAATGTGATTGTTTCCTTTTTTCTGTTTGGTCATTAACAGATTATTCTCAAATGATTCTTAACCACTAATGATTTAGGTAATAAAAACTATTTGGTTCACAGCAATGCCCTTGTTCTTTTGTGTTTCAGAAATTTGACTCCCAAAAAGGGTGGCAAAACTGCTAATAAAGAGTTTAACTAATTTGCTCCAAGAGATGTTAAAAGTCAGCGCAAAGCAATTGCAGCCCAGCTGTTATAGTAAAGAAATTGGTAGACTGGAAATAAGCTAGAAATACCCAAGAGTTAATTAAAGCATTAGATAGGAGATTTTTAGAAGGGATTTTAAAATTTGCTTCAAAACGCTTTTAGTAAACAAAGCTAAATTCAGAAAAATATATTAACAGAACTAAAATATAAACAACAATATTAATAATAATAGTAATAAAACTAGCTACGTTAAAATGACAGCATTCAGTATAATACTAATGCAAAAACATTCTTTGGTGCCAGCACTCCACTTTGAAACTTAACTTTCTGTCACTCAATAACAACCAAAATAAAAGTTGTGAAAGTTGTGGCAAAATCCGAATTATTTTTCAGTACATAGGTACACATATTAATCCACATTACATTGTTGCAGATTTGTGTTTGGGGTGGGGCTCATCACGGAAGAGGGGTGGTAAGAATATATAATGTTAACATAATATGCACGGATACAAGCGGATATAGATATTTTGCGTACAACAGTAAAAGTACAACCGCAACAAAAAAATTGAAAAAAAATCAATTGGCACATGGTGTTAAATTTTATGTTTATCTAATAACAACTACTATACTAAAGAAACATATGGTTTTGCAATAATATCGATATATTTATATTGCATTATTACTGTGATTTGTCGGGCTTTTATTTTAAAAAATAAAACCGGGAAATATTTATACTTATCTGTTATTACTTGTTGCTGCTCAACAACAGTTGTTTCACCAGAAACGAGGAGGTGTCAAAGTTGGCGATGTGACAAGTTTGCGTACTGAAACCGAGACGTTTAAAGTTCTGGGGTATATGTGTGTGTCTGTGTCCTTCGGCGTGTCCATGGTGCTACCCTGAGGTTAGCTTCTGTCTCTAAAAAGGTGAGTCAAAGACCTACATGTGAACTATTTGCGTTGAAAAACGTATAGTTATCCAGTATCAGCGAGAGGTTCCTTACTACGCTAGCTAGCAAAACAACTCTGAGTCAGCTAGCTGCGTTACGCTGTGTTTTGCTTAAATAATGTAGTAATACATCACATAAATTCAGCACAACACCCGTCGGGGTCCACCATCTTGTTTTAAAACGACATGACTCGCCTTTTACCCGATTTAATCATTTTTAAACCTTGTTTACTATCGACGCAATTTAGGTTGTGTTAGCAGGCTAGGCTATAAACTCAAACTATTAACCAGCGCAGGCTTCCTCGGCTGCCCAGCGATGTGACTTCTGTGTTGTGAAACGTTGTAAAATTTTCATCAGATCTCCAAAAAATGTCCACTGCTTGCATCAGAACCAAATACCTCTAATAAGTGGGGGTGTTTAAATACGAGTCTGATGAATGTGATGAAGGATATATTTGGCTAAAGTATGTTCTGCAATTTGGTCCACCTTAAAAGATCTGGATCCCCAAAACACTTCTGATGGCTATGCAGTTGTTGAGCTTTGGGTATAATAATTATAATAAAAAAACAAACAAAAACAACATAAACAAAAACGAGTTAATTTCGTGAATTAGTTTGCGTGATTTGTTTTGCACATTCTGAGGCATTCCTCATCTGAAATTTCCCAAGTTTTTCCTACCATTTCACCGTAATATAGTTAAGTGAATGATCGTTGTTAAAATTAAATCTATAATATCATTATGATATTGTGTTTATGTTTATTCTCAGGTATGCCTTAACTAGGATTTGGACGATCGCATTAATTTCCACAGAGGAATCCGACGTGACCTCCTTTTATAGCAGTCCCTTGTTTGAAAGTAGCTAAAGATTTCGTGTGTATCTAAATCAAATATTTTTCTAAGATTTCGGTTTATTGTATTTCTGTCATCATACTGTATATAAACCTGCAGGCAGGGTTTTGGCTTTGTGATGATATAAAGATCGGTACATGTATAAAATAATTATGATTTGCTTAAATTATATTTGTATTAGATTTTTATACATGTTTGTCTCTTTACTTGTGGCTTGTGGTTTCGGATACATGTAGACTCAGATTAAATGAAATACCCCATACACTGATGGGACTGTACCTGCAACGCTAAGCATATATCCTGTCAACTAATCAAGCACTACTATCTGATAATCTGCTGTAGCAAGCAGTCCCAACAGTAGAACTACTGGTGAAACTGGTAAAATACATTAGACACATTAATGTACATTAGATTATTTATTAGGAAACAAGATGTTCCTCTTACTAAAAAATGGTGTTGGTACTACACCTGACATTTTCATTGTGTTATTTTGCAAGGTTTTGAAGTAGTTTTTAAATTCTTTATCCACAATTATCAGCACCAAAGAAATACGCATTTATTAGTTAATTGGTGGTCCATTGATGCTTCAGTCCATTTGGAGAAGTCTTGCAGTTCAAGACATTAATAAAGGTTATTTATATTCTTGGCATAATCCTTTCCTTTGCAAGAGATTTCTCTGTGTGATCATTTTAATATTACATTTGCACTTTGCTCCCTGTTGCCTTATCCTCTTTTCTTACAACTTTGACGTTCCTGCAATCGTCATACTTCCACAGGAGCACCATGGCGATGTGGATTCAGGCCCAGCAGCTGCAGGGCGAGGCCTTGCACCAGATGCAGGCACTGTATGGTCAGCACTTTCCAATTGAAGTGCGACACTACCTGGCCCAGTGGATTGAGAGCCAGCTCTGGTATGACGTAAACCTTCAATATTCATATTTTTAAAAAAATAATTTTTCAGCCAAAAATGAACTTTTTTTTCTTAAAAATATCATAGCTAATAGAGGACTCAAATTTAAAAATATTTGCTGCCAATCCGTAGGGATTCAGTGGACCTGGACAACCCGACAGAGGAGCCCAAGGCCAAACGTTTGTTGGACAACTTGGTGGCTGAGCTTCAGAGAAAAGCCCAGCTTCAGGGAGGAGAAGATGGCTTTTTGCTTAAAATCAAGCTGGGCCATTATGCCAACCAGTTCAAGGTATGGTGGGAAAACAATGTCTGGGATTGCTAGTCAAAACCCTAGTATTTCCTACATAGCACAGCTTGATGTCCTCAATCATCCACTAAGCTATCTATATACATTTTTACTGAAATTAGCCACTTAGCCTCAGAAGCAGAGAGCAGGTAGGCATGTGTTCAATTCCCAGAGAAACCACATTCTTGGCCCCTCCAAGCGGCAGTCTGTTGCAGCAGATCTGCTGTTAACACAAGAACTTAGTTAACAAAGAAGTGTGGGTGCCGTGGCCGTAAGAGGGCGTTTGGTGTGCTGCGGAAAATTATCCAATTTCACTTTATTGGTCCCATAACTATTATTTATTTGTTGCAATAATTTTTCTTTGTTCATCAAACAGGACTGCATTCTTAGTAAATTTAAACTAGTATATTCATTAATTTCATTACATACACGTTTTTTTTGGTGGTGTGCAGAGTTTTTTCCTGATGATATAATGTGCCGTGGCTCAAAAAGTTGGGAAACACTGGTCTAGACATGTTGAAGTCCAATGCATATTTAAGTCTTTCCCAACCTCACAAATTGCACATCCCACTGGCTTCAGGGGCTTAAGAAACATTTATCCTTCTCTCTCCTTGTGTGTTTCCCTCTCTGTTTTTGTAGAGTACCTATGACCGTTGCCCCCTGGAGCTGGTGCGCTGCATTAAACACATTCTGCACTCAGAGCAGAGACTGGTTCAAGAAGCAACAAATGTAAGTGTTAATACTAGGTTGATATACGTAGATAGATCGATAGATAGATAGAAAGCTTTATCTGTCTGTCTTGGGAGTTCCCTTCAGGAAATTCAGGTCATACTTTGTTTTGTACATATGTATGTATTTAGGTAGAAGCACTGAAACAGGGTTGCAGTTAAAACTATAACTGAAGCATTATTTTTTTTGTCTGTTCAGGCCAGCTCTGAAACTGTGGGCCAGGCTATGGACAGTCTGTCACAGCGCCACCAGCAGATCAACCAGGCCTTCGAGGAGCTCAGACTGGCCACACAGGAGACTGAGAATGAACTCAGAAAGCTGCAGCACAGCCAGGAATATTTCATCATCCAGTACCAGGAAAACCTGCGCATCCAGGGTGAGGATGATACTTAAAGATATCCTCCAACTTAAAGCAACTCTGGTCGTATCATCTGATTAAGTGAGATAAATTAATTTGTTTTCTATTTTGTTAGCCCAGCTCAGCAGCCTCTCCTCATTGCCTCCAGCTGAGCGAACCCAGCGGGAGACCACCCTGCAGACTAAGAGGGCCACCGTGGAGGCCTGGCTCGCAAGAGAAGCCAGCACACTACAGAAATACAGGCTTGTATGAAGACACTGCACTGCCACACTGGAGTTGTTGTGGTTATCAAACCATTTTATCACTTATATTTACAAAGAAATCTGGACAAAGCAAAGAATTTTAAATGGCTTTCTCTACTCTGTGTAATGTGATACTTAATTTTGTGAAGTCAAAGGTTGTTAGACTTTACTAATCTGGCTGAAAATTTTGGAAACCTATCCAATTTTTGGTATTGAATTTTCTGTAAACCTGTATTCTGAGGCCATTTAAAAGCAATGGAGGAGGATACCATAATCTTTAAAGTTGCAGCCCCATGTACTGTAGCAGCACTGGATCGTTCTGTATAACATATTTATCATGCACAGTGTCCACAACATACTGTATAATTTGGCAATAATAAGGTTTGAATAATGCAATGGAGTAATACTGATGCAAAAATGTGTTTCACTTTAAGTTGTTGTTGTTACAACACATTTAAAGAGTAGTAATTAATCAAACACCCAAAGTAAATGCATACGAGTCTCAGCATGTGTGTGATGCTGTGTTTGTAGGACTTGTCAGAACAACACCTCAAGACTCTGGGCCTGTTAAGGAAACAGCAGACTCTCATCCTCGATGAGGAGCTCATCCAGTGGAAGAGGAGGCAGCAGCTGGCGGGAAACGGGGGCCCTCATGAGGGAGGGCTGGATGTCCTCCAATCATGGTAAGCTTAGTCTTGTTAGTATCAACTGATGATACTTTAATGATATGTCGCATCAGTGTTCAAATGTACTTAAATCTTTTGTTTTTGTCCCCAAGGTGTGAAAAGCTGGCTGATTTAATTTGGCAGAACCGGCAGCAGATCCGACGTTGTGAACATTTAACCCAGCAACTTCCTCTGCCAGGACCAATGGAGGAGTTGCTGAGCAAGCTGAACAGTGACATCACAGATATCATCTCTGCTCTGGTTACAAGGTAAAAACATACACACAAAAAACCTGAGTTTTTGTCACCACAGTTATATTTTAGATGTGAAAACATGCAAGTGTTGATTCTGGCTCTGTTTTTGCAGAACAGAAATATGAAATAGTATTGTTAAAATATAAAAAGTTTGTTTACAGTTGGCCAAGTTGCACAATTTTAATGTTTAAACAGAATTGTTAATTATTTACCACGACCAGTTTAATTCAGCTTTGGCCCTCTGTAGAGTCTGAGCTGTTTGATTTTGCAAACGTTACATTCCTGGTGCACTGACCTATGAAATCTGTGCTTCTTGTTTTAAAGAAAATGAAACTTGGAATTGAAGCGTTTCCTTATTTATAATTAAGATTTCCCCACACCCACCCTCTCTTTTTTCCCCAGCACCTTCATTATAGAAAAGCAGCCGCCGCAGGTGTTAAAGACACAGACCAAGTTTGCAGCCACTGTCCGTCTCCTTGTGGGTGGAAAGCTCAACGTCCACATGAACCCTCCCATGGTGAAGGCGGTCATTGTGAGTGAGCAGCAGGCCAAGGCTCTGCTGAAGAACGAGAGCACACACAGGTGTGTGCCACACAGTTACTGGGAGAAAATCAGTAATGTAAAAACAACATCTTCACAAGACTGAAATAGATGCATATTACAAGATGTTAAAAAAACCATTTGATTTTGTTGTCAGTCATTTTCAACGTCCATCTTCCTTTGCAGTGAAAGCAGTGGAGAAATCCTCAACAACACCTGTGTGATGGAATATCACCAGGCCACTGGTACCCTCAGTGCACATTTCAGAAACATGGTAAACACTGTTAAAATATTGTAATTCTTTTTTTTTTAAAAATCACTGTTGAAACGTGCAGTGTCAGGTTGTTCTGAGCAGATCAGTGATCATTTTTAATGTCACAACTTTGACCATCTTTAATGATAAACTGAAATCTGTATTTAATTTTATTTAAATACACCTGTGTTGAGGAGACGTTTACAAAAGATTGTTCAGGTCATTGGGAATACAACAGAACACTAGAATTAGGAAGAAATGTCCGGCTAAAATAGTGTCCTTGAGTGTCCTGAAAGGCGCTTTTTAAATAAAATTTATTATTATTATTATTATAAAATGAAGTGGAAAGTCTTTTGATGTTAAACAAAAGTCTGCTCAGTTTTCATAAGTAAACCATGTGTTTGTGTGTTGTCTAGTCCTTGAAGAGGATCAAGCGATCGGACCGTCGAGGTGCAGAGTCTGTGACGGAGGAGAAGTTCACTGTTCTCTTTGAATCTCAGTTCAGCGTTGGTGGGAACGAGCTGGTCTTTCATGTCAAAGTAATCAGATGTTTTAATTTATTACAGCCTAGATATTAGTGAAGATATTAAAAATGCATTAGCATTAGTCTGGCTCTGAGTATTTCTCAGTGACTGTCTGAGACCTGGCTCTGAGTATTTCTCAGTGACTGTGGTTGTTCACACTTGTAGTTTATAGGAGACTTTTGTTCTTAATGTGTCTCTTCGTATCTTGCAGACTCTGTCACTTCCTGTGGTAGTCATTGTCCACGGTAGTCAGGATAACAATGCCACAGCCACAGTCCTGTGGGACAACGCTTTTGCTGAGCCGGTAAGTGGCCTTTTTCCCCCACAGTAGCCTTTTCTCACATCCCCAGTCCATAAAAGGTGGAAATGATATTCAGGTATTTTCTTATCACCTCTTACAGTACAGTATAAAAGGATAATAAGACAGCTGAACAGTACCTTGTTCTAGGAAAAAAAGTGTGAAAGTTTGTTATATACAAACATACTGTGTAACTGCAGCGAAATAACTCAGTAACAGCATGTGCTGTGCATATTATTCATATTATACAGTATAAATGCCCAAGAGAAAGACTAACAGATATGTGTTAAAAAAATAAATTCACACTATGACACAGTCATAAAGTGACTTTAAATGGGCAAAAAGAGCAAATAAAGGATTGTGAAATGACAGTGATATTTAGAGTGTAATATGGGTTTAATTAAAAGGCTCAGATGCACTTTTACTAAAAAAAAAAGAAATTGCATATTTATAAAGCAGCATGGTTTTGTTTATTGATCTCCATTTTAGTCTTCACATTCAGTTTGAAGTTCTTCACCCCCCTAGGGCAGGGTACCCTTCATTGTTCCAGACAAAGTTCTGTGGCCGCAGCTGTGTGAGGCCCTGGATATGAAGTACAAGGCAGAGATGCACAGTAGTCGTGGGCTCTCGGAGGATAACCTGGTCTTCTTGGCACAGAAGGCTTTCTCCAGCAGCAGTAATAACCCAGAAGACTACAACGGCATGACCATCTCCTGGGCACAGTTCAACAGGGTGAGGCTGCTTCACAGTCACAGCTTTATATCTGGCTGTAAAGTTTAGACATGATAAAAAACAGACTCATCTAATTTACCATGTGCTTGCCATAAAAAAGGAGAGCTTACCTGGACGTAACTTCACCTTCTGGCAGTGGTTTGATGGAGTTGTGGAGCTCATGAAGAAGCATCTCAAGCCTCACTGGAATGATGGGTAAAAAGTCACAATTAGATTTGTCCTATCTCCACTTAGGAACACATAAGTGTTCCTGTGATTACCAAGTCTCATCAGTGATACTTCTTCAGGTCAGGTTTTAATAGATGTGTTTTATTGGTGATTCAGCATGGTGGAATGTAGGATGACTTTCAGTGAGTATGCATGAGCTCAACCCATTTACTGGAGATGTGAATGTGTCTCTCATTAAAGCATGACTTTGTCAGTATGAGTCCTAAATCCCCTAGAGAACCCCTGCAAACACAAACAAAAAATGTTTCTGAAATTAGGTACATTTTTACACAGCAGCAAATATAGAACCTTGTTTCTCAACAGGCGTATTTTGGAGGAAAGGGCTTCAAATGTGTGGACTGTCATGTTTTGATTACACCAACCTGGGTCCTGCAAAAACCTAAAGAACAGTTCTTCATTTATGTTGCCGTGGGTCACTGGAGGATATATGCTTCACACCTTTCTCTCTGTAGACACTAACGGCTTTCGAGCTGACTTTTTTTTCAATGTGATTCCTCTGGACTCTCACTTATTAAAATACTCTATACTGTTTGCAGGGCCATCCTGGGTTTTGTAAACAAGCAGCAGGCTCAGGACATGTTGATGTCCAAACCCAATGGCACCTTCCTGCTGCGGTTCAGTGACTCTGAGATCGGAGGCATCACAATCGCCTGGGTGGCCGAGAATCCCAACAAACCAGGTGTCAAGATGTGATGGTTAAAATTAAATTACATTTCTTCTACTTTCTTTAACACCACTGACCTGATTCCACTTTCACATGATCTTTTATTTGATTAGGTTATCATTAAATAGTTTGCCTAATCCAGTCTGTACTCATGTCTGTGGTTAAGGTGAGAGGCTGGTCTGGAATCTGCTTCCTTACACTACTAAAGATTTCTCCATCCGCTCCCTGGCCGATCGCATCAGTGACCTGAATCACCTTCTGTTCCTTTACCCTGATCGGCCGAAAGATGAGGTTTTTGCCAAATACTACACCCCCCCACTCTGTATGTATCAGCCTGACTCACGTTTTGTTGAAGATGAATGCATGATTTCAATCATACAGTACCTAGTATACATTTGCACTATATACTGTATATATGTTTTGTTTTGTTTTTTTTGCAGCTAAAGCAGTGGATGGATACGTGAAACCACAGATCAAACAAGTTGTACCTGAGTACGTTTTTATTATTTTCTGCAACATTTAAACTAGTCAGTGTTGTTATTTTCATCTTGTCACTAAAACCATTATGGAGCACTGACTTTACTCTGATTCTTTTCTTTTACTTATTTGGTGCCACCTTGTGGCCATATATATATGCATGTGCATTAAATAATTAGGCGCTACAACTTTCATGCAGTGGTGCTTTGGCCCAGAGTCAATGTCTCTGTCATTGGTGTGGAACTAAGATCGAATCCTGGTTAGGGTGGTTGGTACCTTCCAGTGGACTCACCACCCTCAGGAAGGTTCAGGGGGGTTGGTACGGTGCAGTGTGATTTGGGTGGCGATCATAGACTGCTGCCCCCGCGACCCGGTAACGGATAAGCGGATAAAAATGGATGGATGGATTGATATTTTCTGATTTTGTGGATGCCTACGTTGACTGTCACAGTAGTAATGTTTGCTTATTGTTTATCCAATGCTTTCTGACAGTTTTGCCAACCCAAACTCCACTGAGTCCACTGGAGCAGCTCATCCATTTATGGACCAGACGACATCTCCTTCTGTGGGCCACCCCAACAACTTTAGTGTTTTCCCCCCTATGTAAGCTCCCAATATTTCACTTTGTATCTTCAAGTACTTCAGTATTTTAGATGAGTTTAGGGGCCTCATGGTGGTAGAGGGTTCAGTGCTCTTGCCCTACAGCAACAAAATCACAAAGTTTGATCCCTGGTTGAATGGTTTTACTGAATGGAGTTTGTATGTTTTCACCTAGAGTATTTTTCTGCAGGTACTGCACTTTTCTCCTAAAGTATAAAAATATACAGAATAAGCTTAATTTACTACAATATCAATATTAAAATGGAATCTAAATGGTTGTTAGCTGTGCTGTTACAGGACGTGTGTCCAGTGTGTTACTGATGACTGTTGGGATATGCTGCAGCCCCCTCTATGTGACCCTAGAAAGGATTTTCCAGATGAAGATGAATGAATGAAAACTCTGTTAAAGTCAGCCTGACTTTACCTTGTATGACGTTACCTTACTGTGATCCTGTTGTTGAAATGTGGCCACCCACATTCTGTCCTAAATGTTTAATTGTGAAACATCTGTGAGCTGTTAACCTAAAGGCTACCCTGTGCTCCTCACTCAGGGGTGATGCCATGTTGGATGCCGACGGAGACTTTGACCTAGAAGATACGATGGACGTGGCCCGTCATGTAGAGGAGCTGCTCCGCAGGCCTATGGCCAACCAGTGGAGCAGCCAACAGTCCTGAACCTTCTCTATATCTAAAGGTTTTCACCAGAAAAACCTACACCCATCATTCTCTCTGAACTACATCCAGTGGCAGAAACTGCCCTTTTCTCGCCAGGTCCCATCAACAAATCTAGGCAGATCGAAGAATCTGCTCTGAAAATGGTGAAAATCGTTTCCAGAAGTTTTTTGTTAATGTCCTCTTCCTCCCTTTATTATGGATTCTCAGGGTGGTCATCGGGACGTGGTTCTAAAATGGTAGTTTTATACAATGCTGAAACGTACAGTTAGCTTTGCAGTTCTTTATGCCTGATGAGCTTTGCATAAAAATCAATCAAGGTGAAGAAAATAACTTCAGATTATATTTTCCAGTTTTTACTTTTTCTTATTATATCTATATGCTCTGTATAAAATGGGATATCTACCAATAGTTTGATCTAGAAAATCCAGAACATTAAGTCTTACGGTGAGACTGTTTATTTTCTGCTGAACATTAGCCACTGTGAACAACAGTAGTATTTGCAGGAGGATGATGGGAAACTGAAGTTTCTTTCATTTGAAAGGTCCTGTGGAATTATTTTTTTAAAGAGCCACTGCTCAATTATTAGCTACGATATGGCAGAAAATGTTGTTGGCCACAGCGATAGTAATTAGTGTACCTAAACAACGTGCATGTGTGATAGCCCCTAAAGTAAATTAGGTCATGTATTAATGTGTCCCACACCCTTTGTAATAGATCTAACATGGTACCTAAAGACACTAACGCAGGCATGAGCAAACTAAGGCCCAGGGGCCGTGGTTTGCTTTTTAATCCAGCCCTCCAAACTTCTTAAAATGTTAGACCTAATGTGTCCCGCAGGTCAAAAGGTTTGCCCACCCCTGCACTTACGTGTATCTCAAGGGATTTTTATCTCAGGTGGATTGACGTGGGTGCACAGGCTTTTTTTTTTTTTTTTTCAACTTGACACACTCAAAATCTCAAATTTTACAAAACACACCACGTTTAAGTTCATGATTACAAAAACATTCATGCAAAGAAAATAGTCTGACTTCCTTTAGTCAATTTGAATTCGGTGTCCCCTCTCATGTATGTGCCTTGGAATATAAACAAAAATGCAGATGTCTGTCTCACTTATAAGACGTATTAAGTTATTTTGTACTAAAAGGGTTCAATG